GATCATGGAGAGGCTGAAGGTTGGAAACACGAAGCTGGAGGAAATAGACATGCTTCAAGAGGTGACAAAGCAGACACACCATCTATGCATTGGGCGATGCTGCTGCTTGGCCTGTGCAGGGACATATCGGTGCACGGTGTGCATCCATCCACTATGCCTGGAGTTACTGGTTTGGAAGTGCTTATTCATTGGCAGGGCCTACCTGATTTTTAAGATTCTTAGGAGCCTTTTGACTTGCTTCGAGACCAATTTCCTCATTTTAACCTTTGAGGACAAAGTTAGACTTCGGGTGGCGGGTAATGATAGGCCCCCAATTAACCTTATGTATGCTAGGAAAAGGGAAAGGGCAGCAATCGGTTAAAGGGGGGAAATAATTGAACACATGGGGCTTGCCAGCTAGGCATTTATAGAGGAAGTCAGAAGGGAATAAGAAGAGTCTTGGGGCATTTATAGCTATGTCAGTTATGAATAAGAAGAGTGTTGGGCACTTATAACTAGGCCAGCTAGGCATTTATGGGGGGGAAGTCAGTTATGCTGTCAGAAGAATATAAGAATGGTCTTTGGGGGATGGGGAAGGCAGGCTTTGGTTGAGTGCAAAATACTGTGAGTGATTGGGAGAGCCGGCGGTCTCTCGAAGAACTGACCAATTGTTACTGTTCTTCTTTTCTTCTGAATGAATACCGGTTTCTTTGTTGATATTCGAGTTGTGTGAATTCTGCTGTGAGTCTGAGAATTGTGTGTAAAGTTTCTGGGACCTAACAAATCCCCCCAATCTGGTTACTGCTATGAATTTGGCTCGCGCTTTTGAACGCAAATTGCAACTCAACCGCGGAAGTATCAGTATAGGGCGGCCTCAAACAACATGGGCAGCCCCGAAACCACTCGGAATGGCTCCTTCTTCAGCATCCAACCAAGAACAAAAACCACAGACGAGCAACAATTCCAGATCGACATCCAGTGTGGGAAGTAGCGTTGTTGCACCCCCTATTAAGCGCTTGTCTAGGGCTGAGATGGCAGAACGCAGGGCGAGGGGACAGTGTTTTAATTGTGATGAACTTTACTCAGCAGGGATCAAGTGCAAGAGACTTTTCTGCCTCCTAGTGGAACAAGAGGAAGATGAGGATGAACCCTCTTCATTGGAACCCAATCCAGGAGGGCAAAATCATTCTCCAATCTCAGTCTATTGTTCGTTCCAGAATTAATCGAGGTGTTGTTGAGGCTCTGGTGGAATGGGCCAGCTTACCATTGGCTGAAGCTACCTTGATTCCTTTGACTGTGTTTCAGGACACCTATCTTGAATTCGAGCTCGAGGACAAGCTCTTAGTCCAGGAGGGGAGTAATATTGTGGATGCTTTTATTGGAAAGAAATACAGCCGCAAGCAGCAGTAGTAATGGACAACAGCAGTAATGGGCGATTAACTCAGTGTTATCTTATTTCTTAGCTAGATTCAGTGTTCCTATTAATTAGGCAGTAGCATTATTATTATTTAAAGATAAATGTTGTTAGGAAGTATTCCTAAAGAAGGACTCTTATCCTCTTGTAATTTCCTATTTAAAGGAGCAGATGATATTCAATAAAATTATCGATATTTTCAGTCCAGAAAGAGCAGAGGTGAGTTGGTGATCTCTTTAACAAATCACCATTAAGGCGCTAAAGATAGGTTCCTCAAGAAAAGGGAGAAACAAGGGAAAACAAGAAGTTTTCCCCGTTAACCGACCTGTGACGAGATCCTATTCGCGGGCCCATAACAGTGGCTTTGACCCATCAAAATAAAAAAAGTGATGTGGATCTGGTGGTGGTCTTTGTGTGGTGAATGTGGGGCTGTGGGTGATTAGAGATGAATAATGTGGCTGGAAAAGAAAATTGAGTGCTTGCTGTTCACCAAAGAATGAACAAGAAATTAGGAGAGAGGTGAACTCTTGTTGTTATGGTAAACAGCAAAGAGACGGATCACTTGGAAGAAATAATAGAGAGGGGAAAAAGAACCAGAGTTCACTTAACCAATATTTATTTAATCAAATCACTCTCTTGTACTCCAATTACAATGACTCTATTTATAGACTCAATTTATTAACTCAGATGCCCCTTTACAAACTCCAATTTGGACTAGGAAATTGACCCAAGACAACCAATTATTTTAAAACTATCCATAAGTAACCCAGAAAGGGCAAACTCTCTTATGCTGCATTTTTTAAGGACGTATTTCCTTTTTTTTTTATCAGAAACGGTAACTTTCATTAGACATATTAAGAGAATACATTGTCACCACCCAGTCAAGGGTGTTTACCCCAAGAAAAGTACTTTCTGATTACAGAA